TCTTAACGACTGGCGCAAAACTACAGGAATAATTACTTCCACACATATTCCATTAATATTGTTAGTAATCAAAAACCATTATCCTTTGTGTAGGTATAATTAATATTTAAAAATATCCACATAGTCTGCATTTTAATTATCCAATCGTTGATTGAATAAAACGAGTGGCATGAAAAAACTCACTTTTCGACAAAAAAGGCGGCGACCATTAACACTTCAACCTTTGGCAGACTATCTAACTGCCCCTTTACGAACCAGTCAGAACTCAGTTTATGGCAGATTGCCATAATAAGTCGAATCGAACTCCTATCAGTGTCATGCAATGCACTAATATAACTCCCGATCGGCAACTTGCGTAGTGACGTAAGCGACGCTCGGTCAATATCGGCATGTCGTCGGTTGCATGACAAAATTTGAAAGTTTTACGATATTATATGTTGTTTCCTGACATGTTGCAATTAGAAAAAAAAGTTCTGTATATGAGATGTTTAATTACAGGTTATAAACTTTACAGTAAGACACAAAAAAGTTACAATATTTTTTTTCAGGAAGACCCTATTGTTACTTTGCATGTACTAGGACTGTAATGGGAGTCAGGCAAAAATATTACAGTACTAGTCAGGTAAAGATCAACTTTCTAATGTCAAAATAGCCCTGAAATTTAGATTTTCTTGACGGTTTCAGGTAAAGTAACAAGCGGCAGGAAACGTAATCTGCTATGCCTGCCCTCTTTTTGTGTTATACGGCACTGTTGATTATTGCTACCGAGATTCGAAAGTGCCGCGAAACGTCCGTCATGTCGACATGAAACCTTTACCCTACCTTAAAATTGTAAGTACAGGGTAAGTCAAGTTTGCAGTATACCGGCTCGGAGGCCGCTAAGACCATTGTAATTTAATGTATTTAGTGGCCAGGTACCTAAAACAATGTTTCCCGGAATGTATTAATTACCTGGTGATCGTTTGATTCAGTTTATCAAGATTGCACCGTTTCCTTCAATGATGCAGTCCACTTAAGGCAATGAATTTTGCGATTCAATTCAGCCACCATTGTAAATGATAATCAGGGGTTGGAAACCATATGAAATTGTGATGATCTTAGCCTCCTACTATCTTGGCGAGCTAACGCCAACTTCAAAGCAGGGTATTGCAAAAACAATTGAACGCCCCACACCATCATGTTCGTTTTTGAAATAACTGAGTTTTTGTTTTTACGAAAACGATAGATAAACTGGTTCTCTTTAAAAATGTGAAAAAGGAATGTTTAGTTTATTATGCGAAATTTAAAGAAAATGCAATTTTAAAATTTAAGATGGCAGTTACACCCTCTGTTGGTCATATTTAGAACTTGAAAATATTTTCCAGGGATTCTTTATGACCGATTTACCAACTATTTTTTTTACCCCTTATGGCGAACGGTTCTCGAGCTATGGGCGAGGACCAGTCTTATTGGGTCACCCGGTACGAAAAAATGTTGTGTACACGGCCTTACTCTTCTTTAAAGGTCCAGAAACGATGATGTCTATGGTAGCAGTTTCAGACGGCAGCGTGCGTTGTGCTTGTGGTGAATCTCTTCACTCCGTTTTTGTTTTAGCACTTGTAGCACCCTGTATGCATAAAAAAAGGAGTTGTGCAGTCACAAAAGGAGTGATTTACCATCAAAGTCTTATAAATACCAACGGTTTCTAGGAACCGCAGATCATAAACCACTATTTAGAGCTAATTGGGCGTTTTTGGTGCATTCACACAACACTTAAGTGATGGTAAATGGTAAGTCATATGTGTAGGTACATGTGACCATAATATAATTGAACATTTTTATAGATAGACATGGATGACTGTATTGCATTTGTTAAAATTGAACCAAAACAAGAAGAAGAAATAAATTTGTCTCTTGAACAAACCATGCTTGTAAAGAATGATGATTGGGCAACTATAAAAAACGAACACGAGACAGAATATAGTGAAGATATAGCTAGCTGTGATTATGATACAAATGTTAAAATAGTCTCGGCAAAACACCCCCTCGAACACAACATTTTTAGTAAAAAATTTAAATGTGACATTTGTAATTATGCAACAAATGTAAAAAGCAATTTGACAAGACATCAGATTTCACACAAAGCTTCTAACAATTTTAAATGTGGCATTTGCGGTTATGCCGCGAAACAGAAGAGGACGTTGACCAAACATGTTTTAACACATATCGTTTTTAAAGATTTGAATTTTAAATGTGACCTTTCCGAATATTTCTCAAATTATAAAAAGGCTTTCAAACTGCATCTGTCAAACTATAACTCTACAAATTTTAAATCTCACAATTGTGATTATCAAGCGCATATTAAAAGGTATCTTCAACAACATCTTTTATTATTAGCGTAAAGACTTGAAGTGCAAGATATATGTGATTATGTCACAAACTTTAAGCATTCTTTGAAACATCTCTTGACGCATAATGTCTCAAATTGTGTGAATATACAACCAACATTAAAAGTTCTTTAAAACAAAATCACCTTACACACATTTCTTTGTAACTGATTGATCTTGACTATACTATATATGATTCAATAAATTTTAAGTATATATTTTTTCTACCATTAGATATAGCTGTAAAATAATAAAAAACTGTAATAGATATAAAATGTGTGTCTACCTTCAATACATATCTCGCGCAGAACTTCAGGACAAACATACAAAAAATAAACGACTGTCTCCTCTGCCCCTGAAAAATGACTTCAAACGACAACAAAGACCAGATGTACAAACAAAAAAACACTCAGCTAGCCTAAATTACAAGATACTTTCAATTTACTGGGTTCGTAAAAACACTAGACTGTAATGATCTTAGCCTCCTACTATCTTGGCGGGCTAACGCCAACTTCAAGTCGCATCGGAATATTTGACCATATTCTGTAGGAGCGGGAATGCCAAACTAACATGGCTGCCTAATTGAATATTCTCGCTTAAGTTTCCCGCGAGAATCCGTCACTCGGGTGCCACTCCGAGTGCACCAAGATCGTGATCACCATGTAGGGCACCTACGTTGTGTAAAAACTGGGTTCTCAGCAGGCACTGAGGGCGTTTTATGGGTAAGGAACACCAAAAGCAATAGCTGATTAAGATTATATTGAAGCTAATACCAATATGGCGCTCCTGCAGAGGGTCTTAAGTGGTTCTATACTACTCCGGCATTTACCTTACGAATTAGGAAAACTGCAAAGCCTACAGATAACATCTAATGTACAGCACTTTTGAGCCCTCTCGAAACCGGGGTAAATACTACATACACGCTATGAGTAACCAAAATGGAATCGAGCCATACCCCAGGTATTACAACACCTACATCAGACAAAACTAAGAGATATTAAATATGCCTCGCCGGAGGGTAGGATTACCCAGGCCCAGTGGGGTGCCTGTAGACGTGGGCTAAAGTTGTTGGGTTTCGGAACGAGTGAAAATGTTAGTGTTAGGACTGTTAGGTTCACCAAGGCCCGTATAAACTTGAATAACTCAATCTCCTCTAAACAAGTACACTTGATTACTCACAGCCCCAAATAAGCAAATATAATGAAATGCAATGAAATAATCGAGAGTGACTAAAAAGCACAATACACAAATATGTACACATGCAAGTATGTACTGCACAGATACAGCCCTCCCGACAATGAAACATGATTGGCAATACCAACAAAGGTTACACATTAAGAGGAAGTGATTGAATCCAGTAAGTACATAAGTAAATGGTTACAATCTGCATTCAAGTTACACACATTTATAGAGTAATTGAATAAAGCAAATACCTCACCTGATATAAAAAGCAAAAGCACACAGCAATGATTAAGGTATAACAAAATATTTCAAGATAAGCCGTACTTTACACTTACGCCGGTTACAAGAAAAAGACCATAAACACACATGTTAAATCGTATTTATTGACTAGTCCAAACGACCGGTAACTTGATCTCTTAACACCCCTAAAAAATACCCGAAAATCGCCCATTCCCTGTATTTCAGGTATTTCTAGGAAAAAACTGGACTGCAGGTATTTGAAATGATAAACACATGTGATCTTCTGAGAAATTCCATCCGTCTCATCTGTGCTCTTTCCCTTTTCTGTAATCCCACCAGTTTTTGGTTGGCAGCTTGTGTAACTAACATGATGTATAGGGTGCTTCGTATCGACAATCATATTCACAGGATGTTTTTAAGGTTGGGGCATCTCAAGATTATGAAAGCTCGGAAATTACCAATAAAAAAAACCAGCGGTCAAATTAATATCAATTCAAGGACAAGGCCAAGTAATCAACATCAATAAACATAAAATAAGCAAGCATTACACCAAAAACGTAAACAATTACAAACAATAGCATAACGGTATCACATATGTGATTAGGCATTGCGATTAAACCAAGTAAATTTCAAAAACAAAAATTGAAACAAAAAAAAATATAAAATGCGGCATACAAAACACAAATACGATATAAAGAAATGCAAAAAAACACAAAATAACAAACATTTATGAAGTGACGCGCTCACGACCGCCATTCAAGAGAAGATATGCCAAACGTAACCCCCGCTCGTGCTTTCTAGATGGCGCAGGCAGCTTTTTCCCATCTAGAAATTGCATGGTTGCCAACTCTCAAAAATGTATGTATCGTCGTAAGTTGTATATACAGGGTGGAACCTTTCACAGTTAAGCCGGGTAACATATTTCGCGTACCGTGAGGGTATTTGTGGATCTTAGAGGAATTTATGGGAGGATTAGGGACAATCGATCTACTCTAAATTTGGGCCTTGAACCGGTAAATAAAACTTTGGGACGCATTTTCTATATTCTCGTCTTCCGACGGATTGCGTAATTGTTGCAATCGCGTGAAATTAAAATTAAGTTAAGCCGGGAGTTTCCAACCACTGATTTTTCTTTGTTCGTCAACCGCTTTCCTTTTAGGTCACTGAAACAATCTTGGCAAATAACGCGGGTCGCTTTTAACTTAACAAAAGTCTACCCATATCATATTTAATCAAAATAATTTAATTCACTAATGGCCATTTGCACCGTCAATTTTAAACAATGTTTCAATTTCACAATGCAAACGATTCTAATTGAAGAACTATTCTCCTTACTAAAGAACTAAACTGGACCTTTTTACACTTAACAAAGATAAACAATATGAAAACAAAACACTAGTTATACCACAGTCAAAGCATTATTCGGGAAATTGCGGTTTGACCGACCGATCCAAATCGACGAAGTACGGATGCGCGACTATTCCCTTCGCCGATATCCGCTTGGGGGGATCGTACACGAGCATCTGCTTCAACAGATCGAGTCCGCTTTCCGAAAGGCACTTCACGTGGTTGTCCAAACTGTACGTGCTCCAGCACGGGAACGTCGCCTTAAAATCGGGCAGCGCGGAAACTCCGGGCCACAATTTCTCGTTGGGTGTCATCAGGACGCGAAAGATTCTGAACAGCTGATCGATTTCGGAGTCGCCTTGAAACAGCGGACATTTCGTCGCCATCTCCGCGAAGATGCAGCCCGTCGACCAGACGTCGATCGGGCAGGAGTAGCGCGACGATCCGAGCAGTATCTCCGGGGCGCGGTACCATAACGTGACCACTTCGTGGGTGTACACGCGAACCGGTACGCCGAAGGCGCGACCCAGTCCAAAGTCGGCCACCTGCAATTTACCTTTCATGTAAAAGTTCAGCTATGACTGTTGTCCACAAATAAGAAAGTTGGATCTGCGCATGCGTTTTACTTTTCAAAATGTGACAGAACCGAAGTTGCAAATTCGATTTAATTATCCACTGGCCGCCACAAAAGAAATCAAAGGAATTACGCTTTGTTTCGTCTCAGTGGAACACGTGTTTTTTCTTCGTGCCAGTAGAAAAAGCAAAGCGTTCAAGCAAAACAAAAAGCGCGGTTTCAGCTAAGGCTACTCTACCAACCTAACGACATTTACAAATATCCGTGCCCGAACCCGGATTCGAACCAGGGACCCTTAGTACCGCAGTTGAACGTGCACGCCACTGCACCAAACAGACCCGTTATTTCTTTAGTTTAAAATCTGGAAGGTCTATTAAAAAAATGAGGTTAGTCCCGCTAACTTTTTTGCCTGAGCTCGTATACTTATTCTGAAAACGGTAGATTCTTCAACAACCAGGGAAATGTAAGGTCATTCCGAAATCAATCCCTATATTACTTTTTTTGATAGCACTAACAATTACGGAGATATATAAATGTCGAAAATGGGACACCCTGTACATAGCTTAAGGCTGTAAGTTCATTTAAAATGGTGATCCGTTCCGGGGAATTACGTAGCGGCACGAGTGGCTGCTGCTGCTTCTTCTTGACGCGTTTTGTTGCTCTGGAGTGCGAAGGTTTTCTCTACCGATAACTGCAGAGATTGCTCATTGGGCCATAGTTTACAAGAGCGATACCTATAAATAAGAATGTCAGTAGTGGAAAATCAGCAGTCGTTAGGCGATTGTACGCAGTGAACAAACCCGGGCGGATCAAGAAGAAAGAAATCAAGTCAGAAGCGAAGCGAGCCATCGTCTACATCAGGTCACCTTTGCGCTACGGACTAAGATTTTCGCAGTTTTTCCAAGGGAGAAAACAAGGAAGTTAAAAACTTCCCCGGCGGAACGCTAGTGCGGGTTCTGTCGGCGGTCCGTGCAGAGCATAGCTTGAAGATCAAGCTCTATTCCGAATTGAAGCGAGAAATCTATAGCCGGTTCGTGCAGAGTACAGCTGAAGAGTAAATCTCCGTTCTATTCCGATTGAAAGTTATAGCCAGAAGGCATCTAAAACTCCTGGTGCATAAACAATAAAGGGATTTTCGCGTTGCAGTTTTGCCGCTTTCCGTCGTTTCTTGCCCCGTTGTACATTTGAACTAGCGTTGAGGTGTATTTGATAAAAAACTATTAAATCGAATTTTAAGCTCAAGCTCTATTTAATTTAACCACTTACTTGCGATTTGCATTAAGTTGGTGTTTTTGTGGACACCGCTTGCTTGTAAAGTCTTACACTCGCGCCCGGAAATTCTTAATATATTAACGTATTGCATTCCGATTTATTTTTATTGTATAGGATGTTTGTTAAAATACAATTCATTTTCTTTTATCACCTGACGGGTGTCAGGTGTATATATACATTTATAAACAAAGTTGAATATTTCCTATCAATGCAAAATGTGGCCTTCCAAAATGAATTGTAAAATGCACTAAAAATAGGTAAGTATAATGCGACAAAAACTGAAACACCCTGTGTAAAATAGAAAAATGGTTACACTACAATATTAAAAATCCCAATAAAATTATTTATATATTGCATTTTCACTTACCGTTAACGTTGTACACAGAGCAAGGTAAAATTCTTTTCTGCGATTGAATGATCCTAGGCAAAATACCTACTTTTATAAATAATGGTCGAATAACAAACCCGGCACTTCTAATAAAGATTGAGGGGTAAACCAATTCAAATTTTGTGAACAACTAAAATTCTAAAAAATTCTAAAAATTGTATAAAATAATAAATTCTATAAATTCAAGAAAAGTTCCAAAAAATTCTACAAAATGCTACAGTTTCCTCTGAGTAAACCACATCAAATGTTGTGAACATTAAAATTCGAAAAATTGTGTAAAATAATTGTGTGCGCATGTGCGGTCGAAAAAAATTCTATAAATTCTAGAAACCTAAAAAAATCTAAAAACAGTAGGTACTTCTGTGTGCATGTGCGTTTGGAAAAAATTCTAGAAAATTTTAAAAATTGTATGAAATAATAGTATGCCCATGTGCGGTCAAAAAAATCTATAAATTCAAGAAAAGTTCCAAAAAATTCTATACAATTCTAAAAAAATTCTACAAAATGCTAGTTTCCTCTGAGTAAACCACATCACATTTTGTGAACATTAAAATTCCAAAAATTGTGTAAAATAATTGTGTGCGCATGTGCGGTAGAAAAAAATTCTATAAATTCAAGAAGTTTCAAAGAATTCTAAAAAAAACTCTACAAAATGTTAAGAAATTCTAAAAAATTCTAGAAACCTAAAAAAATTTAAAACAGTAGGTACTTCTGTGTGCATGTGCGTTTGGAAAAAAATTCTAGAAAATTTTAAAAATTGTATGAAATAATAATAGTATGCCCATGTGCGGTCAAAAAAATCTATAAATTCAAGAAAAGTTCCAAAAAATTCTATACAAGTCTAAAAAAATTCTACAAAATGCTAGTTCCTCTGAGTAAACCACATTCTGCAAAATGTTAAGTGTCCTCGGGGAAACCATATCAAATTTTGCGTACACTGAAATTGTAAAAGAAATTCTAAAAAATTCTAGAAAACTAAAAAATCTAAAAACAGTAGGTACTTGTGTGTGCATGTGCGTTTAGAAAAAAATTCTAGAAAGTTTTAAAAATTGTATAAAATAATAATAGTATGTGCATGCGCGGTCGAAAAAAATTCTATAAATTCTAGAAAAGTTCCAAAAAATTCTATACAATTCTAAAAAAATTCTACAAAATGCTACAGTTTCCTCTGAGCAAACCACATCAAATTTTGTGAAGATTAAAATTCTAAAAATTCTAGACAATTCTAAAAAATGTGTAAAATAATAATTGTGTGCACATGTACGGCCGAAAAAATTCTATTAATTCAAGAAGTTTGAAAAAATTCTAAAAAATTCTAAAAAAAATTCTACAAAATGCTCTAGTGCGGTCCAAAAAATTTTATAAATTCACATCAAATTTTGTGAACATTAAAATTCTAAAAATTCTAGAAAATTCCAAAAATTGTGTAAAATAATAATTGTGTGCGCATGTGCGGTCGAAAAAAATTCTATAAATTCAAGAAAAGTTCCAAAAATTACAGAAAATTCTAAAAAAAATTCTACAAAATGCTAGTTTCCTATGACACAGTACAGTACAATTCAAAAAATTCTAGAAAATTGTATAAAATAATAATAGTGTGCGCATGTGCAGTCGAAAAAAATTCTATAAATTCAAGAAGTTCCAAAAAATTCTAGAAAATTCTAAAAAAAACTACAAAATGTTAGTTTCCTAGGGGAAACCATATCAAATTTTGGGTACACTAAAATTGTAAAAGAAATTTTAAAAAATTCTAGAAAACTAGGCAAGCCATGGTATCATCACTTGGCAGTAACTATATTCAAATCAGGCCGTAACGCCTTATGCATTGTACCCAGTAAAACCCAAAAGCTCTTTAAGAATATGTGTACCAAATTTGGTTGCAATAGGTTCACCCAGAAATGAGAGTACAGACAGACTGACACGATTGAGATATTGTTTTTGGTTCAAATCTCAGGTGTTTTTCCATAAAAAAGGAGGGGGTCATTTTTATCCCAATGCAACTAACGTGAGGGTGGAAAAAATATCTCAATCGCTATAGTTGGCTTACTTTAATCGAACCATCCTTGCCGATGAGTAGGTTTTGCGGTTTCAAGTCACGATGCATTATGCGCCTTTGGTGACAAAACAAGATTGCTTGATTAATCTGGTAGAGGTAACTTTGAACGAGCTTCG